GAAAAACACTTGGCGTCGCGTTCCTTGACATCCTCAGCGTCGATATCAAAATAAGGTACCGCAGCGTGGCCGTCCCGTCGTCCCTAAACCGGCACAACTGCCATCTCTTGCAACATCCCGAGACATCATCGGCTGCAGCTCTGCTTCCATCGCCTCGCATGACATAACGGCTTGTCGCCGCGTGCCAGCTCATTTCCTTCTTGGCTTCTGCCTGCATTTTGGAGCCCCCTCCTCTGTGATCTCCGAGTCCATGGCATACATCAGGCCATCTGGCGGAATGACTCGTTTCTTCTTTCTGGCGTTGACACTGCAGAAGCAAGATTGAGAGCGTTGTTAATTGCTTTCTTACTCGTGGCGGAGGTGAGGTACCTCAAAGGCTCCAGCCACGGAGCCCACTCTTCGGCCGGGCTCCTCTGCGGGAGGCAAGAAAAAAGAAACAACTCATCTACCTAAACCTCAGATAAGCTACCGCACGCAATCCTCCTTGGTTTCCGCCATACCGGTCTGCCTCGTCGATGGCGGGGATACAAACTCGGCCAGCAAGCCCAGATCTCACATCACGTTGCTCACGTACACGGCTTTCGACACATACAGTGCAACTGTCACATCGCCTCGCAGTCTGCGACGTCCCATCGTCCTCCTCCTAGGTGGTCTTGCAGCCTGCTCGAACTTTTGAATCAATTTCAATGGCCCTCTCCAGGCTCTCCTGCATCTCCACGACCCTATCAGCATGTCAATCCAGAACCCCGACGCTTTGGCTACTCATGCTGGTGGGCTTCGAGACGAGTCTACGGAAACAACTCTTTCCATATTCCTGTCAGCATCGGTTACATCAAGAGTAGCCCCGCCAACGTGCAGCCAGCCAGCAAGACTTGCCGGAGCGACGAAACGAAACGAGCGGACAGAGCCGGTTTGTCGCGCATTCCAAACGGGGTCACAGTTCTCAGACCTCTCGATCAATATCAGGTGAAAAGCCAAGGCTCAACGCAAGGATGAAACTCCCGCGGCCGTTACATGAGGAAACGGAGACCCAGTTCTCCCAGCTCTCTCTCCACTTTCGAATGTCGAAGGCCGATCGCACGCGGCACGCAGCGCGAGCAAATGCTTGACTTTTATGATGCCAGATGATGATGGGACGGATAACCCAGCATCGACGCGCTACTGATGGTTTCTTCACGTCCGAGCTACGAGCTACGTTACCGACATCGGGGTTTAATTGCCAAAGAGCCAAGTCAACATCGGCGCTCCAACACTGAACTTTGTTACCACGGCCCACTCTAGATGCCATAGTCGTAATTCCCAATGGACGCACCATAGCCTTCTCGCACAGACAAGGGGCCAGAGGACTACTGACCTTCGTTAATCTGAGATGCCAACGATCACGCCGATGAAGCGAGCCAGTGGCAGTCACTGAGGAGCAGAATTACTACACATCACACACTGCGACCCTTTGGACCTTGGCCGACGCAATGCCTGGAAACAATCCCACATTTGAGTGTCTAGATGCTCGAGAACTAGAACATCTCGGCCAGTCACAAGAGCACACGATGATACTTCGAGACTCTCCATTTCCAGGCTCTCCACAAACTGGAGGCAAAGCAATCAATCTGCTGGCGTCGTGTACACTACCCCAAAAAAAATCTCCCCCATTTGCGTCTGATCGAATCAGCTAGCGGGGCGAAAGGTGGTGCCAGCTGAACCCCCAAGTTTAGTAGAACGTCGTTATTCATTAAACTTGGGGATCTAACCACCAAGCGCCTTGTCAAAGAGACGACAATATGCTGCGTCCACGACATACGGGGCTGCCCTAGCCCGATATTCTCAGCTTAGCCTGCACATTGCTATCCGTAGTTGGCAGATGCCCAAAGAATGGCCAACCCGAAAGCCACCGGGCCTCGTCCCGAGCTACTAGACTGCGCCTGGGCCACAAAGAGGCGCAATATCCGCCGTATCATTTGACGATCCTTCTTCAAATGGCCATCCTCCACGAAGACGGTGCCTGGCTATCTGCGTCGGAGGCGCAAAAGTGTATGTGCGGACCAGTTGCCAGCTTTATGAGTCGATAGATGCCGTTCCGTCGCGGCAGCCGATGGATCAATGAGCGCCTCTTTGGAAGTCTTTGCCGGCTCGTGGCAGACCAGTCTTCCCACGATGAAAGAGCAGAACAGCCCTTGGACCTTATACTGTAAGCCGTTGTTTGATCGATAAGCCTCCTGCTTCATATTCAGGTTACAAGACAGTGGATAACGTGATGCATAGCGCTTGTCTTCGAAAAGGTTGCCTGGCACCCGTGCTCTGGCTGACAGGGTGTTTTACGATGGAGGGTTTCCTTTTGGTGGTGTACGTGGTATAAGCAAACACAGTGACGCCGTGCCACGATATCCAATATCTTCACGAGGGGGTTGAGCAGCTATGATCGTTCTCTTCTACCTCGTGCCACGCGTCCACGTCGCCGTCACACGCCGCGGACGTTAACTCTTTCGGGACGCAATAAGGCTGGCTGTGGACCTGGGGCCTTGGAGTTGGGCGATTCCTTTCAGCCAACTAGCTTGCAGAAGCTCACTGCTTGTTTGCGACAGAGTTCCCTAGGGCCGACGGAGTGGACGCCCCGCTGATGAGCGACAGAGGATCGACTCAGCCTGTCAAATAGATGGCCAATGTCTCACCGATGTAGCCCTCTAGTGGTGCATAGGCCAAGGTTGGAGGGTGTGGACTTTCTATTATCCTTCATGGTGATCTGCATCGGGCAGAAGCCAGTGGCAGCAACATTACCGAACTTTTTTGCTTGAAGCTATCGGCTCCATCAATGTTGGCGCAGCATCCCCGGCAGTCTGCATTTGGTGATCAGAAGGCGACAGCGGTTGAGAGATACTGTTTGCTAAGGCGCATGCAAGCATCGGCAGAGGCAAACACGCATATATCGACTTGGCTAAGGAAACGGTCTTCGCAAGGGTTGTACTACTCTGCATGGTGCCCGACTAGGTAAACCAACAGCCATCTCTTTACAACTACACGCGAATGTCTCACGGGCATCCGGCCTCCATTCCGCGCCTGCTTCGTCATCAGCCAACGGTGTGGACTCTGCAAACGGGAAGCGAGCTGCTCAAATTATCATCGGTTGGTTCGTTTGCAAACGCCGTCCCGACCCAGCCGGCAACGACAATCGACTTGACGTCTCGGTGCATGATAACCATGATTTCGCGTGCGTTATCGTGGTGGAATTCTCCAGCGAGAGACGAGTATCTATCGCTGCCCATTGCGATTCGGCCATGACCTGATATTCTGCGACCGTTCAACGCCCTAGCTTCCGGTAGGGTTGACAACAAGGAGATGAAGTTCTGAGGTCAGGCAAACAAGACAAACGGGAAACAAAGACTCGGCGCAATGACGTTACTTGGCTTCCGCTCCCAAGCCCAATCAGGTGCCGTTTCTTTCGGATAAGAAATGGCCGGTACAACCAGTAACAAGCCTCTTGGTGAGCCTTTGTTCGAAGCCCCCTCTCTCTGACAAGACATGGTTCGAGTAACCAGGGTAGCACCTGCAGCCTCCAGTCTGTGAAGTCGAATGTACTCGTCTTCAACTGCATTTTCGAAATACCATCAAAGCTTATATCGACTAATAGTTTGTGTCCTGAATATTCCGGTACTTGGTATTCAATGCTCCGTCGTCGAACTACCCCAGATAGCTGTGGGCCTAGTCAAAAGCCTTGACATCGGCAAAAGTTCCACACAAGCAAAAGGCATCGGTTTGTGCTTGCAGCTCCCCGAGCTCGAACGTGGGTACTGCGCAGGGTTCATCAGGCCAAGGATCGCTATAATCAAGCTTTGTTTGTTTGTTGACTGCTTGCCTAGTATACGGAGCTTGATCACACACCGGCTGATGATGACCGAGCTCACCCCAGTCTGATCTAAGATGGTAGATCTGGTCCTCCTAGAGTCATCGATCTCAATTACGCCGATGTGTCAACGACGGCACCCAACCATCTTGGCCTGTGGTATGTGAGCCTAGCTCGTCGTTACGTTTGCACGGTTTTCCATACCGGCATTGCTCGGGATCCATGCTCCGTGTCTGGGACCCTTTCACAATACGTGCGGCGTTGGCAGCTAGTCAACCTGGTCCCTTCAGTTTATATAGTCGATGGAGTTAGTGCAAACTGCATTTGTTGGCTCGAGCTCATGATATTGATCCTGCCCAGGTTACCAGGTAAACTTACTGTGTAGAGTGTGGGCAAACGCAACCTCCCTTTTTGGCATCCTGCATTGAAGAAGTTACATCTCATGATCTCACATCTTCTGTCCAGGTCTCGATCTCTTCACGTGGTACCACAGATACCTCTAGAAGCGACGTTCTTCTGTCTTCTTCTCCTTCTTTTACCCCCTGGGCCTTTCACCCCGTACGTACCCCGAAATCATGTAAGAAAGAGCGACGAGCCGTCTCATGTCGTGGCCCTCGACCCCCCCCCCCCCCCCCCCCCACTCCACATCCCTGTCTTGCCCTGTGGTGCCAGCCAGGAAGTGAGGAGAGTCGGAGGACGCCAAAGTCATTGCGTATATTGCACTAGGCTGGCTGCAAAGTAAGGTATTAGTGGACGATGCCCACCCAAGTGCAGCTTGTGCAGCAGCTGTGCGGCGTGTCGTTGGTTTTGAGCTCCCACTCTTCGCCGAAACACACCAACGATGCTTTGGTCCGCTTTCGTGTCAGGCGGGGCCGGTGGAAAGTCCACTGGTGAGGGTTGAGGGTAGGTGATGGTTTTGATACGTAAGGCAGAGTAGTTGCGAGCAGGCTTGTTGCCGCCGAGGGGGCAGGGCGTCGATGATCATGGCAGTCATGGTAATACACGTGTTACTTTTTGAAGTTGTGTTGTGCGTTGGGCTGCTGCTTGCGTGTGTGTTGTTTCCCCCTTCTCTTGTGATTAAGCCTGAACTTTTTGCGGCGGTTATGAAAGGAGCCCCCCCCCCCTACCTGTGTTTTTTCGCCGAGACCACAACTTGTTGGTGTAACTCACCTACCGTACGCTGGAGCTTTTGTATGTAGTAAGGCCGAAGTTTCTCCCTCGTTCAGAGAACAGGTCGGCTCCCTAGGGAGGCGAGGAGGGACGTGTTTCCTTCCGACACGTTCTTTCTCGGGGACAATCGGCTGCACATTGCGATCTTGACTACCTTCAATTCTGGTGCCACGCGGTACTCTGCGTCTCGAAAGTCTGTTCCGAAGCCTTGATGAACAAAGTCTTACCGTCAGCAGTGTCCAGCGGCGTCACATCATCACTACTGTCATCTGGGAAACGTGATCTACTCGCCGTATTGATCCCACACCCAGATCGAGACCGAGAACGCGAAGCAGACCCGTCCCGCTCGGCGCGGGCGTCGACGGCCCGGCAGAGGACTTCGGCCAGGAGCGCGAATTTGCCCTGCCGGTTCTTTTCTTCATCCTCGTCCTCGTCGGCACCTCTGTTACCTTGATCGAGAGTTGTAGTGCGAGGGTGCGGCGGAGGCGAGGGCGGTGGCGTTGGAGGTGGAAGTGGGAGCGGGAATAGGTTCCGGTGCTGGGCTTCGCGGCGCCGGCAGGCGAGACATTTGCCTGGTTGGCGGAAGACGCCTGAGCAGGAGAGATCTGGGCAGCTGTTGGGATGGCGAGGGTGAGGGTGAGGCTTTCTTGGACAGGGGTGGCGTATGCGGTGGCCTTGCCAGCAGCCGCAGGCTATGTGGTAGATGTTTTCTGCAAGACACATTGTGAGATACTCCGTCACTGAGGTCTAATCTGGACCCACGATGGTTTGGCGGGGGGAGAAGGGGGAGGGAGAGGTGGAGTTGCAGATGGTGGTGGTTGGCGATGAGGTTGTTGACTTACCTTGCTCTATCGTGAGAGCTGGGCGGAAATTGAGCTGGTGTAAGTTGGTGTTGATGATGCGTGCCAATGGCTCTGTGGAGTAATAAACTTGGATATGTTGGCGTCTTTGAAGTGGTGGTAGTCTTTTGTAGTTTTGCCCCCCTTTTTCCTTCTCCTCGTTATTGGGGCATCTTCTGGTAATATCGACCCGGCAGAGATGCGAGATTCCTTTCTCGCGAACATGGGTTCTGCAGAACTTTGGAAGACGTGTTGTTGAAAGGTGAGTTTACTTTATTCGTAAAGCATAATGGCCCCTGAGGTTGACCAAAGAAAGGAATTGATTGTGTGCGTACGGAGGGAACACGGAGGGAAACAATGGAGAACAATAAAGGGCTCTTCATTTTGAACAAGATGTTATGTTCCTCTTGGACCTTTCCCCTTTCTTGTGTTGGAAGTCGGTTTGCCTTTGAATTCATGCTGACGAAGAAGTACGTGTACACTCGTCTCAAGCATTGCAAGTACAATGCCAGAAAGGGGAGGAAATTAACCTAGCGAACGACGTAATGTCAAGTTGTTTATTCTATTTTTTTTTTCCGGGCTCTTATATGCGAGCATCCCTGTCGTTCCAGGGAGAGAGAAAGAAAGAGAATTCCTATAAGGGTACCCCTTTGAAGAGATAGTCTTGATTTTAGTCAAGAAAATGAGTTAGTTGAGCGGGTCGGTACGGTCCGGCTTTGTTGGTAGGCATTTGGTTAACGAGGGAATTGAAGTTCACTCCCATTGAAAGAAATAGATTACGACTGGCAAGCATACATATTTATGATATTGGAGCAGTCAAGAGTTGATTGACTTGAGAAATCACGAAATCTACAAAGTTGATACTTCTACTATTTCAATCTCCCATTTAAGACGTGTCGACAGAGGCTTATGTGTGTTATATATGTGTATCATCTGCTTAGCCAAGGGTATGTCAAAGTCTCATAATTCTATGATCATGTATTGATTTCTACACATCTTCTCTAAGCTCTGTAATTTCAAACAGCTGCCTCCAAGGTTTTTTTTCTCCCTCGGAGTGTCTTCAAAAACTCGCTCTCCCACTTTAATCAACCAACCTAGCAAGATGAACACCATCATACAACGGCATCAACCAAGAATCCAACCGCGGCTCGTCATGCACGGCACTGTTAAACTCGCGCAGCTTATCGACGTCCTCGGACTTCCAATACGCCGCGCGTTGGCTCTTCTCGCGCTCCATCCACGGGTTCTCGTCCGAGTCGTCGGCGACGATGCCGCGGCGGAGGACGTTGTCCGCGACGATGAGGCCGCCGGCACGGAGGAGACGATTCTTGCCGCTTGTTTGGGAGGAGGCGAGGATGGTGGATAGGTAGGATGGGTATCCTGACTTTTGGGCGTCGATGAAGATTAGGTCGTAGGGTTCTGAGGGGTTTAGGGTTGGTAGGCTGCGGGAGTATGTTAGTGAGGTGAAATGGGGCGTTTCTCATAGCCCCCTTTATCCTGGTATTCTTCTCCGGTTCTCATCCGATGAAGGTTGGTGGCAACGGAGGCCACGAGAGTTTTATAGTTGAGCTTGGTGAAGGAAAACTCACGTCTCCAGAGCGTCGCCGACGACGACGGACGCGTTCTTGATGCCGTTGGCGGCCCAGGCCTCTTCAGCTTGCTTTGCGTAGTCTGCGCTGAACTCGAGGCCGGTGACGGTGCCTTCTGGGCCCACGGCGTGAGACCATACCATGCCGGAATAGCCGACGTAGACGCCTATTTCGAGGACTTCATTTTGGTTTTCGTTAGCAAACGGTCTTTGAGTTTGGGCTGAGTTGAGCAAGAGTCGTTTGTAGCGTCTAGACTCAGTGGCTCTATGAAAAATGGCTCTGGCAGAGATCTGAGGTGTTGCGGAGAGGTTTGGCAACGCTCAACTTCTTCACCTAGGCCCCTCCAAAGTTTCGCTCGAGTTGCGATGAGGTTGTGATATGAGCCGTGTTTCGTGAGGTATATGGTGTTGCAATCTCACATTCCTCTCAAAGACGTTCAACGACTCTCAACCGCCTTAACCCCCCCCAAACGAAGACACAGAAAGAGACCTCTACGAAAACTCACTTCTCTTAGCCCCAATAAGCTTCGCAATCCAAATGTGGTTCTGCGCCTGAAAATTGCTAATCATCAATATGGACGTTTCGGGCTGCGTCTTGTCAATGTGGTCGTGGTAGGCGACAATGTGCGCGGGTAGGTCGGTGGAGCGGGACTCGGAGTACGTCGTCACGTTGCGCGAGACGGACTCGTTTGGGTAGAGGACCGAGACGGAGGACTTCATCTTGGTTGTGGTTGGTTGTGTACGTGTAGTGTTCCTGAAGCTATGACTCGAGTGGTTTTCCCGTCTTGCAAGAATCAAGTTGTACAGAAAAAAAGTGTCGTGGTTTTGTAAGATGTTGTGAGGGTGAGTTGGCGTTCCGAGAATGAGGTGAGGTCAGGAGTTGGTTGGACTTGGATCGAGTCAGGTGGATTGCAACGGGACCGTACGTCGGCACTTTGACAAGTGTAATGTATTGCAGGAATAGTAATTGCCAAAGAAGGAAACGCAGGAATATGAGAGAGAGAGAGAGAGAGAGCGAGAGCGAGAGCCTTGTGTATTTATGCCAAGTATCAAAAGCCCGACTGGCCACCCCTCCTCCCCCGCCAAAGGTCGTTCGTTGGCGTTGATTATTAAGTCTTCAGCTTCATGACAAGTGACAACTATGGCACATCATGTCACAACACCCCCCAGTCCCATCCCGCGTGCGGAACGGTGGACAAGACCCAAGAAGGGGAGCGCCGCGCCCCCAAGTTCCGAGAGAGATGAAGCAAGATCGACCCCTCCATCCATCGGTGCGGATTCCACCCCCACCTCCATCCATCCTCCTCTTCACCTCCCCCGCCTTCGGAGCAAGATGCCGGCTGTCGAGTGTCGTTTGGTAGCGTCCCCGGTTGCGCAATCGCCCACATTCACCCCCGCCAAAGGGATCAGAAAAACCACAATGGCATTTTACGAGTGTTTCGTACGGACATAAGTGTCAATTAGCAAGTCTGTCAAATGTGCCTGTCGGCCGAAGTCGCCATGATCGCTCGGCTCGGCGATGGCTGAGGTATAATGTCTGTCAGTTTACTCCGGACTTATGCAGAAGATGAGGCGCCTGGTGGATCTATCTTTACCCAACCAACCGCGACGAACTGCTACAACTTCCAAGTCTAGACATTCTCGGGCCTGACACACGGCATTTGTTTGGTGGTCTGTAAGTTGGACACCGGTGCTCAATTTTAGGCCCTCTTTTCTGTTTTCGCCGGACTTTTGCCCATTGCGTTTACCTTGCGTACACTTTTTTTGACAGGCGCTTGTTTTACAGCGGGAGGTTTATCTTGCAGCGGAGTCGAGGGGAACGGGCACTCACCCACCGCACTGCACCGCACTTGCATCTTGCGACTTCGGATTATCCGTACCGAAGAATACCTGAGCAGTAAAGTTGGGATGGAAGAAGCTTGGAAACGCGCTCGGTGCCGTTTTGCGGCGGGACTACCGGTATCTGTCTACCTTAGACTCATGTACCCTCGCCCTCCAGAACAGACCACACCATCCCATTAACTGTTTCGGGAAGGCGGGGCGGTTCCGAGGAGCAACTACGTGATTCTCCAGTGACATCTAAACACTACACCGTGAACCCAAATAGGTGATTATCTGCGCAACTGGACGATGCTTTGTACCACGCATATTCATCTCACAAAGAAAAAAAGGCCCCCCCCCCCCCCTCTGTTCACTATTTAGTCTCTTGATTTTTCACATCGCTCTGTTATCATTACGTTTTTGACAAAATGAAGTGGTTTCCAAAGTGTTGTATTAAGGCGGGAACTTTGAAGTCTAGTGACTTACATTACAAAAACTACACGACTAGAAGCAGTTGACGAGATGCTTGAACAAAAGGCGGGGCGACAGGATATTACGACCTGACAGATTAAGTCTTTTATCCAAGCTCAAGCCAAAGTTGGTTCCTATATGCTCTTCCACTGTAACACTTTTTTCTCCCCTTTTTCTACCTTGTAACGGCCACACGGCTCCATTCCACACGCTTCCCTTCGAATGGAGCTAAGAAACCTGAAAGAGATGGAGGCAGAAGTTTTCTACTTTCCAGTAACTGCTTTTCAGTAGCTATTCTGCAGCAGGCCATACCACTTCCTCTGCGCCCCCTGAAGCTTCTTTGCAAAAGCGTCTTCCGTGAAGTTACAGAGACACTTAGAGGAAGAAGGCGACGACCATGAGGGCACCACCGAGGGTGAGAGGTGCCTTGAGGTAGCTGCCACCGGCAGTGGGGACCGTGGAGGGCTTGCCTCCAGTGGTGGGCGGCTGGGCGGGAGGCTGCGCCGGAGTCTGGGCAGGGGGTTGCGCGGGCGGCTGAGCAGCGGGTTGAGTAGGGGGTTGAGCGGGAGGTTGAGCAGGAGGCTGCGCGGGCGGCTGAGCAGCGGGTTGAGTAGGGGGTTGAGCGGGAGGCTGTGCGGGAGGCTGTGCGGGAGGCTGCGCGGGAGGCTGCGCGGGAGGTTGAGCAGGAGGTTGAGCAGGAGGTTGAGAAGGAGGCTGCGAAGGGACAGTGACAGGCTTGTTCGCCGTGACGGTAGAGTTGTGGTAACGGACTCTGGTGACCGTTGGGCAAGGTGTGCTCGAGGCCTGAGGGGTGACGGGTACAGCCTTCTGTGAAGACGCCACGACGACGGGAGCCGAAGATGCAGGTGGCACGGCGCGCTGGGACGAGACCACGACGACGGGCATGGACGAAGGGGGAACAGCCTTCTGCGAAGACAAGACGACGACAACGGCGGAGGTCGAGGCCTTGGCGGTCGTGGTGGTTCTGGGCTTGTGGGTGGTTGTCACCTTCTTGGTGGCTGAGGTGCAAGGGGTCGTGGCGTTGTGGTGGTGGCTGGAGGTCACGATCTTGGAGGTCGTCTTGGGCTTGTGGGTGGTCGAGGACTTTTTGGAGCTAGAAGAAGACTTGCACGGGGTGGTTGTGGACTTCTTGGAAGTAGAAGACGCGCAAGGGGTGGTGGTCTTCTTGGTTGAGGTGGTGCAAGGAGTGGTCGTGAGCTTCTTGGAGGTTGTGCAAGGAGTTGTAGTGGGCTTCTTGGAGGTAGAGCAAGGAGTGGTAGTCGGCTCCTTGGAAGTAGAGCAAGGGGTAGTTGTTGGCTTCTTAGAGGTCGTGCAAGGAGTCGTGGTAGGCTTCTTAGATGTAGAGCAAGGAGTCGTGGTGGGCTTCTTGGAGGTCAAGCAAGGAGTCGTGGTAGGCTTCTTGGAAGTCGAGCACGGGGTAGTCGTGGGCTTCTTCGACGTGGAGCAAGGAGTCGTAGTGGGCTTCTTCGACGTGGAGCAAGGAGTCGTAGTGGGCTTCTTCGACGTGGAGCAAGGAGTCGTAGTATCCTTCTTGGAAGTCGAGCAAGGCGTCGTGGTAGGCTTCTTGGAAGTTGAGCACGGCGTAGGCTCGTGCTTCCTGGTGGATGTGGTGCAAGGGGTAGTCGTCGAGGTGGTCGTGCAAGGCTGGGTGACGGTGACGACCTTTGTGCTCCAAGTCCAGGTCGGCCGGCCGTGGCCGGGCACAAAGACCTTGGTCACGGTCGTCTCGACGACGGTCTTCGGGTCCAGAGGCACCGGGGGGAAGTCGGGCTGCGACGGCTGCCAGCCGGCCGGACGGGTCGAGACAAGCATCTGAGCCTGGGCCAGTCCGGCGAGGACGGCAACAGCGACGGTGGTAGCGACCCTCATGATGTCTGAGAAGGGGGGTAAGATGGGAAATGAGAGAAAATGGTAAAAAGCGATTGACTGAGAGAAGAAGTGAAAGGTTCCCGCCTTCCCTACACGATGACAGTGAGCGAGTGACTGATGAATCGGATGAGGATGAGAGAGGAGATTGTCTGGAGTCTGTTCTTCGACTCGCTTTACTTATAGTCGTCGGCCTGGGGGCCTTCGATGACCTTGATCCTTGATGGTCCTTCATGTCTGCACGGCTCGTTGCGTATTAGTTTCTCATGATGTTGGGAAGAGAGTTCGAAAGAATGGACCAAAAACCAAACACCGGGGCCCAACATGCGCTGCATAGTCCACAGGGTTGTGAAGCCATTGAAGCTTATGCAGAAAGCTTCTCACTCTTGAGCCACTTGGGACATGAGCTCCTCCCTTCCTGAAGATCGGTGGCCCCAAATACCGATGGCAACAGGGCAAGGTTTTCTTCGTCAAGCCATTGGAACCTCTGCGGAACGTCTCATGGCGCCGTTCTGGAGCTCGACGGCAAGTTTAGGTTGCTTGCGAATACGGTCTCCTGTGAGATACAAGTCGGTTTCGGCGAAGAAGAGAAGGAGAGGGCGCGAGTAGTTGAAGTCTTTTCACGCGTTGGCGACACCATTGGTGACGCTCACTGGACGATTTTGATGGAGAAGCTGCATGTTTGAACCTGTGCTTGGAAATTGATGAAAACGCTTGGGTACATATGGTGGCGGGACCTCTATCGGACCTCTTCCACCACTCGATTGCCCGCCATTCGCTTTTCGTGATAATTCTGCAGCGCCCATATACCTTTCGTCATGATATTCGACACCCAAAACTTATTGATTCCGATGAGCGGCGCCCACTGTTGTGACTCGAAACAGAAGAGTGGTGATTCGTGCACCTTGATGGAGCTCTCGACGCCAGTCGCAAAATCTGCGCGACCTGCAACGCTCAACTTTGTGTTCCGTGTCGGACCATGCTCGCTATGTATGCCTTCTGTCGACTCCATTCTGTTCCACTCTCGGAACACGCTTCCCAGACCCTAACGCCATATTGCCACGCAGTTTAGTAATCGGAGTCGGAAAACAGGCCGAACCGCATTCTGTGGCTCTGTGTCCATGGTCAGCTTTGAACTCTGTGCGTCTTGTGTCAATGAGGGAAAAACATACAAAAGGCAGCTTGGGAATGACAACTGCTAGCACGGCCAGGAAGTTGATGCTAAAGTAGGCCAGGTCGTAATGCGTGTAATGCGTGCTCAGGAGGAAAAGCACGATTGGCACGCTGAGCAAGAACTTCTTGGCGGGTGTGTATTGTGCCCCATCGTCAATTTGCTCCCACATGTTCAGGTTATCAAAAGCACCGCCGTTGAACTCGAATGGCACGCCGCGAACGTAATGGAACATGATGTAGGATCCAAACATGTACGAGATATTCGTCAGAGTCCAGGATGTCTCCTGTGACACCCCTGGCATGACATCGTAGAATATCTTTAAGCAAAGGATGAGGACGAAATGGATTGTCCAGGCGCCTAGAGACGACGATTGTCAGTTCTTGTTGTCCTACCGTTCAATGGGACTCGATAGACTGGCACGCGACCAAAACAAAGGGGATGGAAAGGGGCAATGGGATAGCTTCAAAAAGGGGAGCTTCGCGCGGGGCTCACCTTTGGCATTGACCCAGTTCGCATTGAGGTTAGGCACGACGGCCTGGTCGCTTATCTGCTCGAGTGTCTCTTGCGGTTCGTAATGAACCTGGAGGATACTGCTAGATCTCCTTCTGCGGGCACCGGGTTCCGCCATTGCTCTGTACGATCCGCTGCCACTTCGCGGAGGATTTGTGGCCGCGTCGTACGAGACGGTGCGAGAGAGGAGGATTGGGGAAGACAGTTTGGCGGTGTTGGAGGGGGCGTTGGGGTGCGGTTTGGGTTTTGTGGGTGGAATGGAAGAGGGGGAAGTCTCTGCGGGCTCTCGGGATCGTCGTCGGCGTCCTCGTGATGCTGGGGTTCGGCGGAGTGATAAGTTTGTCGTGTGCTGGCGGCCCCCTTGATGATGTCACGGGGAAAGCGAGCAGCAGCAATTGACGTCGAAGTTGACGCGGGCGTTGTATATAGGGGATGCTGGGACTGAATGTGGTTGAAATTTGATGGAAGCGAGAGTAGAGAAAAAGGTGTCGTCGGGACAGTCGAAGAGAAGCGAGAGCGAGATTCTGGCTGTGAATGTTTGGGGATGCCGTCGTCGTAATAGTCTACTTGGCAATGGGATGAAGGAGAGGATGGGACATTTTCCATTAGATATTCATAGTAAGGTAGCAGCCAGCGGAACGGGGGCACTCAACTGGGGCCCTGGGGGGGGGGGGGGGGGGGGGGGAAGGAGGAGGACAAAAAAGACTGGGGCCCATTGGGACGTCCCCGACAAGGCCACGGCACAGGGCCTCAGGTGCAGCTTCGCGTGCAGGCATTGGAACCAGGCACAGTGAAGACTCCACTAATCCACTCCTCCCCAGCAAAGACACGAAAGGACAGAACAAGATTGGGATCCGAGCCGACTGGCAGCTGGAGACAGCATCAATTCCTTCATCTTCACACAGTCATGACAGCCAGTGCCAGCCGACACGAGCGTAACGAGGGGACACATTGATGCGGACGACGGGCGTGGAGCCACCCCTGGTCAGGGTCGTTCAGGGGACCACCCCAATTTCAGCGGGTACGGGAGACTTTCGAGAGGGGAGGGGGGACGCTGGCTGGGCAGGGACGGAGTTACATACAGTACAAGCACTGGCAGGTCCCGATGGGAGAAAGAGACGGGACTGGATGGACGGGACGCAGAGACTCCGGGACGAAGGAGGGCTGGACGGGACTGGACTTGGGGCCAGGGACACCTCACCTCAGTTTACAAGACAGAAAGCAGAAGAGAGCGGGAAGCAGGGCAGGCATTCCTGACTCTTGGAGCCATGGAAGGTATGTGCGGATGGCATGGGAAGCCCACCACTCGCAACTTGCAAGAGGCTCTTGCACCTTATCTCCTTGGCCTGCGGATAGGAAGCTTTTTCTTCCAGGTGCGACATGCCCAGCCGGTTCACCCACCCGACGAAATGTTGCTCGATTTGACAAGCTTCTTCCTCCCCCACCATCGAAGAAGAAGAAAAGAAGGGACTCTGATCGTTGCATACAGATCCCCTCCCCAGCTCCCACGTACAGCAAACGGCATGCGACATGCGCAAAACCCTGCCGAGAGCACGGCTAAACCAAGCACGAGAAAAGATCCAATACCTACAGCGACACGTCCCGCGGGAAGGGCACTGTGACTGATGATGGTCGACGTGAGCACAGCCAGCCAGACAGACGGTCAGACTCAGACCCAACATGCCACTGTCCCGCCGCACAGATATCCGTACTGTAAGCTCCCCTGCGTTTCCTGACCCGGCCAATCGTGCTGCAGGAAGGGTAGCGCAGGACGGAGGACGGAGCAGCTTGCGGCGTAGGTTCGCAGGCACATTTGCTAGCGAATTGGGGGCAGGAAGGGGTTCCCCTGGCCAAGTTCAACTAGGAAGATGCCCCTATTTCCGACATTTAGTGACGGCAACTCGGTGGTCAATCGCCATTGGGGAGGGATGGGATACAGAAGCAAAGAGCAGACTGGCCAGATGTGGAAGCACTCTCACACCCATCCGGATACAACCGCTGGATCGACCCTATCACACAAGGCCGCCCACCGTCCATTGTCCATGTAGTGTACGCCGCATGAACATGCCATCCAGCTCTGAAGAGAGGCTAAGCTTTGTTGAGCCTGAAGGAGCAGAGCAACAGCAGAGCAGCACGATCATATACAGCCCATCCGTGCCATCTACTCTTCGCCTCACATCATGACATGGATCACATCACACCTGGGGTTCCTGGCGTCTGGTCATCCTGCCCAGATTCGCGTACGGGGACGGATAGAAGCGCGCAAGAAGGACGATGGCGGCATGGCCCCTCCTCCCCAAGTTGTCGATGCCGTCTTGGACTCCGTATTCTGTACTCCGTACCAGTCTTCCTCAAGACATACGGTGTTGCTCACTCTTCCCACCTTTCCGCTCCTCGATTTGACAAAAGTAATCGTTATCTGAGCTAAATCTGTCGCCCTCGGTCTCCACTAAGTGGGCTGTGCGACAAGTTATTGCCTGTAGTGGTCCGTTGCGTTGCGTGGGATGGACGGATAGGCAAGAAAAGGAGACGTGGAATTCCTGGACATCCGGGATATCTCACCGAACCACAAACTGCGTCACTGATGGAATGCCAAAGTTTCTTGTCCACATTAGGCCCGACCCCCGGTCACGTCTGCCGACATCGAGCTGTTGCAAAGACGCATAGGACTTTTGTTTAGCCCAGCGGATAAGTGTAGAATACGTGAATACTAAATTGCAATCGAGTTTATTACTCATTGCAGCTTCCATACCCGCGGATAATTTGTGGCGTGTCTTTCGGCCGAACGACGCTCAGTTCCAACGCGCAATACCGTGGTCACACTCGGGCAAAAAAGCAGCAGATTCATGAGACCACGATATGCCCGCTAAAAAGTTATAGCATACCATACCTTTCCCACCTGCGCATGTCGACGCTTGGTCCAGGTGGCAGGTGTGCAGAAAAGATCTAGCCTCATTTCCGACCACCAGGATCTCATTTCTGCTTTTCTCAGTTCTGCGGGTTGCGGGTTGGATGTTTGTAATTAGATGAAAGTCGATAGGCCCGAGGTGCCAATTCTAGAAGCATTTCACTTTCGCTTCCGAGTTTCTTCTTTGCAAAATGGCAGTGTGGCACCGACCAGCCCGACACCGCCTCAGGTGGGCACCGGCCTGTAATTAGTGAAGGTTCCAGGGCAATCAGTCGGCCCCCCTTGCTAAGGAAGGTAAGCGAGAGAGGAGGGACCTGACCTTACCTAATATCTGAGGTGAGAGATACCGATTGGCACTGTGCCGTGGCCCGCACCTCAGAAAAATCGAGCACACTGAGGCACCCGGCAGCACTGGCAGGCAGCACAGGCACAGGCAGCCGCCGGCAGGTGCGAGAGGCCCGCCGTGTCGGTTTGGCGAAAAAGCACGGTTATTCTTCGGCCGGCCGTTATTTTGTGACGTCTGGCCTGCTGGTGGATACCCGACAACAACCCTGCATACCTACAATTTTTTGATCAGAGGAAACGGCGGATTTTCCTGTTGATGCCGAAC